TACGTACGAAATCATATGCCTTAGGACTATAAAAGTATAGAGTCAAAGCAAATTGTTTCATGCTGTCAGTATATACATTTCTTTTACGAGTACTATTTTGAAATTCATTGAGAATTAAACTTAATTTTGTTCCAGTAAATTGTTTTATTAATGCATTTTCTAATTCCTTGGAATAATTACCCTTTTCTCGGAGAGCCGTCATAAGTTGGTGATGATTTTTAATAACGTTTTCTTTTCGTTTTATTTTGATGCCCAAATATTTTATTATCTTGCGAAGATTCTGTTTTGTCGGAGAACATGCCATTCTTTTTGGTGATGTCTGGATGCTTACATTTCTGGTTTGTGTAGAAGCTTGAATGCAGGTATCGTCAATTTCAGGAACAATTTCTTCTGTATTGTTATCAAATGATATATCCATTAAATTCTTTGTTTTATCCTATAAAAATGTTTGTGATAAAGAAAACAATATTATATAATGTATAAAAACAAAAATCATAAATTTGTTAATCTCTTATTAAGTAAACAACATCGCATTAAATACCCTTCACAATTTTATGTATTCAAGTCTATATTTAAAGTTTCTGAAAAATTAATAAAATATATATTGAGAGATAATAACTTTTACCCTTTGTCTGGATGCTTACATTTCTGGTTTGTGTAGAAACTTGAATGCAGGTATCGTCAATTTCAGAAACAATTTCTTCTGTATTGTTATCAAATGATATGTCCATTAAATTCTTTGTTTTATCCTATAAAAATGTTTGTGATAAAGAAAACAATATTATATAATGTATAAAAAAAAATCATAAATTTGTTAATCTCTTATTAAGTAAACAACATCGCATTAAATACCCTTCACAATTTTATGTATTCAAGTATATATTTAAAGTTTCTGAAAAATTAATAAAATATATATTGAGAGATAATAACTTTTACCCTTTGTAATAATTTTTCACATTTTAATTGATTTGATTTATTTGATGTTGATTCCAGTTTAGAAAACCCAGTCTCAAGATGACAAGGAAGGTTTTCTTTTTCCTACAAACATCGTTAAATAAACAAAACAACATTAATTATAAGTATACATTTATAGGCATATATAC